TGTAGAGATGAGGTCTCGCTGCCTAGGCGGGTCTTGAACCCGCGGGCTCAGGCAATTCACTCACCTCAGCCTCCCAAAGTGCGGGATTACAGGCTGAGCCACCGAGCCCGGCTTCAAGATTCCATTTTAATCCAAATCTTTCAATAAGGACTCAGGTTCCTGGGATTGCCTTGGGCACTGTACTTTCTTTGGGCTAGTAGTTTTGCTCTTAATTAGGATGATTCCACATATGCAAAGAATGTGTTGCATAGTGGAGAGATGACTCGTGACCACACCAGTAATATCAGTAATGGTAGGTGAGGCAACCAATACCGACGTCCTGCTTGTTTTCTCAATAGCCCACACCACTTACTGCATTATAGATTTGCGTTGGTGAGTTGAGAATAATTCAAATTTGTGTAGCTCAGATAAGGCACACAGAAATACAAAATTCACTCAGTATACAAAATAACAACTTCTTATTACAGTTTTTATTACACAGAATTCTGTGTTGATTGTAAGGAACTTACATTCTCAGAGAGGAGTCCCACAGTATCACTGAACCAAGAGTTCTTTCTATAAATTCACTTTAAGTAATATATTTAAGAAAATTCATACTCAAACAGTGTCACTTTTGTAAATCAAATCTGCATTGCTTTTCTATTAAAAGTTATTTCCACTAGGTGGAGGCATTTGCTCAGTTTTGTGATTCACAAAACCCATTATAGGAATAAAGTCTATGAAACAGGGATCAGCTCAGAAACAAGACCGGTAGCTCTGGACCTTTCAAGACCTGGTGCTCTGTATTACAATAGCTTGGCAAATATACATACATTGCTACATGGAGTTCAATATCTGCTTTTCATGCTTAGTAAATAAAGTGGCAAGTTTTTAGGTTTAAGTAGCTGAATTTTTAAATTCTGTTTGAATATTGTAACTTTAAAATAGCCACAAATAGATTATTACCTTGACATCCTCAGTTTCCTCATTTAATTGTTAGTTCTTGCATTCATTGGTGATGGATGTACTAATTAAGGGCCCATAACAATAAAATGTATACTGTTTTCACTATATTCCAGATATTTTGTATTTAATGAAAATGATAATAGTCACTATGAATGTGTAAATATTGTTGTATTACACTTTAATCTTTATACTGGTAACTTTATGTGAAATGATGCTTCTTCAAGTCAAGGGAAAACAACATTCTTTTTGAACATACCACACAAGTGACAAAATCTTAAAGTAACTGAAATATAAATGGCCTGAAATACCGTGGGAAAATTTTTTTCTATTTGAGGTTTTTTTGTGGTTATATTGTTGGGTTTCTACTTTTCCCTTTTTATTGGTGCCAACACTCTATGGACACAATCTTTATGGGTAACTAGGAAACCCATCTGCTCCTCTTTATTGGTATTTGAAGTTATAATATTCCATGTCATCAGTTAATTGACTTCAAGGAAGTGTCTCAAACATTGTACTTTCTGAAAGCAGCCTGATGTTCTTTTTGTGCCATTGGTTTTTAAAAAGCCTTTCTTGTATGAACACTATTGTCTCTAATTTTATTGTTTTAAATATTCTCTATTAATTATCCACAGTTCTCATAAATTGATGAAAAACACCACAGACTTTTGTCCTCCAATCCCTTAGAGGAAATTCAGTGGTTAAAATTTTCTTTCTTGTTTTCATCTTATATCTATGGGAAAGGGAAGACCAAATCAGATGTACGTACACCTATTTTTAGAAAGGATTCTAGTTTTTCATATTTAGTAGATTGTCTCATTTTAAAATAATATATTTAATTTGTCATTTAAAACAACTGCTTGGCACCAATTGGAGAATTATTCCCATGTCAGCCAACTGGTTTTCCTTCCAGGATGAAAGCCTGGCCCGCCAGCTGGTGGAGCTAGGCTACCGTGGCACGGGCGAGATTGTGAAGAGGGAGGACTTTGAAGCGAGGAAGGCAGCTATCGAGGTTGCAAGGCTGGCCGAAAGGACTCAGAAGAAGTAAGTGTCTGTGCTCCAAATCCAGATTTTATGTTCTGTTCTAGAGCCTCTGCACAAACCCAACATTTTTGTCATTGCTGTAATTTAGAAACGTTTGCCGGAGCAGGTAAAACCTGGCATGTCCTAAACATGTGTTCTGCAGATTAGGAACTGGAGCCACTGGAATGTGCTTTCAGTAAAGCCATATGCAAGTTTGAGCTTCTAATTTAAGAAACATAAATACCAAAATATGATCCTCATACCAATAAAGTTCTGTTAAAAAGTAACTTACTATTAACGATTTTATACATTTATATAGCAAAATATGAGTGACTTTTGCCTTAGAATTCTTTGTGCTTTTGAGACCTAAAAATCTTTGGTTCATTTATGTTCTCACATTTTTCCAAGCAATGGTGCATTAAGCTTTATTAACAATCACTGAGTTTTGTTTATATGATTAAAATATGTATTAGTATATAATATATGGTTATATTAATAAAATCTAATAAAATGCATTAAAATATATAATGAAAGACATATATTCTTAAAGTGAATGGCATCAAACTGCTTAGGCAATTATATACACACCTGAGAGAGTTGTCATCTATTTAATTGTTCAAAATGAATCACTGAGTTGTAAATATTAAGAGAGGATAACTACTTACACATCAGTATATTATATTTGTTATCTTAGATAACAAAAGTACTCGGGAGACATGGGCATACATATCATGTGTATTCTTTATAAAAATACCATTTTGTTGTGGAATGTGCTTTGGTCCTGGGAATGTGCAACTTAAAGTAGCCATTTTAGTGGTTATTGTGTGTCAAGCCATAGCAGATGAAATTGAACATAATGATGCCTGGGAATCTTTTAGTTTTTTGCTGCTGCCATAACACGTTTCCACAAAGTTAATGGTTTAAGACAGCACAAATCTCTTTGCTCGTGGCCAGCTGGACCCTCTGCTTGGGACATTGCATGACTGATGTCTGTTTTGGTTGTGCTGGGTTCTTGTCTGAAGGTTCAGAGGATGAATCTACCTCTTATTCATCACGGTTGTCGACCAGCTCCAACTGCTTGCAGCCGTGGACCTGAGGTCTCACTTTCCTTGTGGTCTGTCATTAGGGGGTTGGTCTTTGACCCCAGAGGGTGCCCACATCCCTTTCCATGCACTTCCCCTCCCTCCAGCAGTGGTGGGTCCAGATCCTTGCACCCTTCCGACCTCTCCAGTTGCCTCTCCTGTGGCATCTTGCCTGGCTCTGGTCAAAGAAAACTCTCTTTTCTTAAGGTGTGTGTGATTATACTTGGCCCACCTAACGATTCAGGATACTCTCCCTATTTTAAGTCTATGATCTTTGTTACATCCGCAGAGTCCCCTTTGGCATGCAGTGAAATATATCCGCCGGTTCTTGGGATTAGGGACTAGACATCCTTAAGTCCATTATGTTGGTGGGGACATTCTGCTCACCATAGGTAATTTATATAAAACTTCAATAACTCATTGAACGTAGTTACTCTCAACTTCTGTTCTTGAAAAATGGAAATGGTGCACATCTTATGGGTATAATATAATATGTCTTATATAAAACATCAGGGAGAATCAATAAATGTCTATTGGTCAGGAGTAGAGGGTGGGTTTTTGTGAGATTTAATTTAATTTTATTTTTTTGAGTTAGTCTCACTTTGTCACCCAGGCTGGAGTGCAGAAGCGCAATCATGGCTCACTGCAGCCTCAAACTTCTGGACTCAAACAGTTCTCCTGCCTCAGTCTCCTGAGTAGGGACTATAGGGATGTGTTACCACACTTGGCTAATTTTTTTGTTTTTGGTAGAGACAAGGTCTCACTATAGTTAATCTCGAACTCCTGGGCTCAAGCTGTCCTCCTGCTTCCAACTCCCAAAATGTTGGAATTACAGGCGTGAGTCACAGCACCTGGCTAACTTTAGTGAGATTTTACAAGAAATTCATGTAGATTCATATGCCGTTTTATAAGAGATATTACGTATGTCCTATCAAGAGGAGCTGGTCATATTTAATGTATATGTTCCATTCATGTCATATGTCCATTCTGTGTTTGAGGGTCAGAGTGGGTTTTTCTCCTACACAATGGTCTCTTTAACCGGCCAAAGCTGGAAGTCATCAGTTTGCATAACTGCCAATTGGAGAGGCTAGCCCTCACCTGAGCTCCGGGGTTGGAAGACCTGCTCACCTGCAGATCTTCTCCAGTTGCCTCTGTAATAGGATGGGTCCCATATGTTGCCTTGTACAAGTCACTGGACTCCCTTCCCCGCCAGGTCCCATTTAGTGTTGTTGACAGCAGGACCAGCAGAGGGTGTGCCAGAGCCAAATACATCCTGTGCCTCTGTCTGAGGGAGGATGGCTTTGAAAATGTACATGAGCCTCTGACTGCTTGCTAACAGGTACCAACTCGGGGACATGTAACTCCACCATTAAGTTAAATCTCACATTAGCTTCTCTAATGTGCAGGCAAGCGACTCCCAGTAGGCCATCATCCTGTGGTTTAGCAATCATAAGCACCCATTATAGGAAGTGCTGGTATCTAAGAGTATAGTACTGATCTAGGGAGAAGAATCTGAAAGATGAAAGTTAAAGATATTGAAAGGGGATATTTTGATGAGGGAAGTTCCAGAAGAAAAGCTGTGTGTGTGTGTGTGTGTGTGTGTGTGTGTGTGTGTTCACTCATTAGAACTCATTGAATGAAGCACTTTAAAAACATCAATCATCTGACCTTAAAAAATGGATTATAAAAAATAATGGGCTTGCTGCCTAGCTAGAATCAGTATGGTTAGCTGACAGCAACCAAGCTGATGCCATGCTATTTTCCAGTGACCCTCATGAATCACCAAACAAAGTGGTCTCAGTGCCTAGCCGTTTCCACTCATGGACCCTCCAAGAGGCCATCTTTGTTTTGCAGTCCTCCAGTGGACTGGCAGAGACTTTGCCAGGTGACAAGTCTTGTATTCAATCATTCACAAACATCCCTAGACAACCATGGAGCTCTAGGCTCTGTTGTCAGCTCTGGAGATAACAGTTCCCACCCTCAGGACGTGATCCTCTGAACCTGCTGGTGTTGGCTCTGATCCTGCTGGTGTTGGCCCTGTGTCTAGCAGCTTTTTGGGGATGATGTTCCTTTCTTCCCTTATTAGACCTGATGTGTACCTGGTGGAGTCTTAACCATGGTATGGACCTGGTGGGCCAGAGTGGAAGTCTGATAAAGAAAGTGAGGCCATCTCCTGAGATAGGAACATGGTGTTGTATTAGAACGACCTCTGAATTTCCTTACATTGCTGGTAGCAGTGGGGGTGGCTTCTAACTCTTATGGAAGAGGAGAGGCTACTTCTGTAGGCTCAGGCTATTCAGAGGTCTGGGAGGTCAACGTTTTCAAGAACATCTACTCAGTTGTCCCTAGTCCATGTCGGGAGCCCAGAGTTTCCTAATCAGAGGTCTGATTTTGGTACAATACACTCATGCCCCTGCTGAACACTTGACTGCCTGTAGACTTCAGTCACTGTGCAGGCCGAGTACTGTGCTCAATCTTCACCTCAGTCTGCTTGACCACTGCATGAGGTGAGGGCTTCTTTGTAAGTAAGCAAAGAGACTCTGTGGCTTGAGATACTTTGCTACAAAAGTTGGTTAATTGCCCATAGCTTTGCATTATTAACAGATAGGGCATTCGTGCAATTAGTAACAATTCCATTAGTCTTATATTCACCACTTCCCATATATTTCTATTTCTCCACGGTGGCATGGCATCCCAGTTCACCACATGTGGATCTTTTAACAACTGCCACCACATCTTGCAGTGGGTCTGCTGCACATCACTTCCCTCAGGGAAGGTGGACCTCATAACAAAAGAGCTTGTGGAGAATGATCCAATGCCCAGACTCCATCTTGCATGAACCTGTCACAGACAGGCCTCTCTGGGAACCAGGTGTGGACTGGAGTTAAGAATTCAGAAGGTTAATTGGGGAGTATTAAACATTGTAGGAGAAGTGTGACAGTCAGGGGGAGCTGTCAAACCTGGCTGGCCACCTGGCAAAGTCTCTGCCAGCCCACTGGAGGGCTACAAAACAAAGATGGCCTCTTGGAGGGCCCATGGATGGAAATGGTGAGGTGCTGAGAGCACCACCCATCTCGGTGATTCATGAGGGCCACTGGAAAACAGTGTGGCATCAGCTTAGTTGCTGTCAGCTAACCATACTGATCCTAGCTAGGTAGCAAGTCCATTATTTCTTATAATCCATTTTTTAAGGTCAGATGATTGATGTTTTTAAAGTACTTCCTTCAATGAGTTCTGATGAGTGTATACTGCAGTGTGACCCCCACCACACTTAGGATAAGAACATTCCTGTCACCTCGGAAAGTTTCCTCCTGCATCTTTGCTTTCAATGCCATCCTTCCAACCTCTAACAAACCACTTATCTGATTTCTGTCCCTAGAGTTTTGCCTTTTCCAGGATGTCATATAAAATGCAGTCATAAAATATGTTGTCTCTTTTCATTAATCACAAGGACTTTGAGGCAATTCCATGTGGATTCATGTCTGAGGAGTTTGCTTTTTTGTTGTTGAGTAATATTCTGTTTTATGGATGAATAACAACTTATGTACACATTCATTTTCCAGTTGATAGATAATTGGGTATTTCCAGTTTTTGGCTTGTCTGAATAAACCTATCTACAAATAGGTCTTCGTACAGACATATAGTTTCATATATATTAAATATATACACAAGAATAAGATTGCTAATAAATATGGCAGCTGCATGTTTATGTTTAACTTTATAAGATATTATTAAACCATTTGTGAAAGTGTCTGTATCATTTTCCTTTCTCAATAGCACAGTATGAGAGTCCCAGTTGTTCTACTTCTTTGAGAACATATTGTCAATTTTTAAAAATTTAGCCAGTATCTGATCAGTGGTATCTGATTCTTGTTTCAATGTATCATTCCCTAATGATTAATGATGCTAAGCATTCATGTGTTATTTCCATGCATATCTCTTT